CTACATGTGCTGGTATTAAATCAACAAAATGACTAAATCCTGAATTTCTTCACAATTCACCAACACATTTCAGTTATACCACATTTCCACAGCAATAGTCACATCAACTTTGAATTAAATCTTAAGTCTGCTGACGAAAATTTCATGTTGCTGAGTTAAACGACGCGGTGGAGGCGCGGTTGCCTCATGGTTAGTGCGCTCGTCCCCGGATCGAGCAATCCGGGTTCGAGCCCTGGCCGGGGACACTGTGTTGCGTTCTTAGGCAAGACACCTAACTCTCACAGTGCCTCTCTCCACCCAGGAGTATACATGGGAACCGGCGAATTGTTGGGGAAACCTAACAAATTGCGGGGGAGTGACCTGCGATGGACTAGCATCCTGTCCAGAGGGAGTAGAAATACTCCTAGCCGCTTCATGCTACAGAAACCGGGATAAGCTCCCGTAGCTATGAGCCAGTCGGCTCCAAGGCTTCACTTTATTTTTTTTGTTGAGTTAAGCTGGTGAGCCGGCATGCTTGCCGTACTCCCAAAAGGCTTTTTTCCTACTTTTTCCAGAATCACGCAGAACAGGGAAATCTTTGCTTACCATGTTGCCTCATTAGCATAGGTGATTCCGTTTCTTGTCAAGTTACAAAATATCAGATCTGAATATTGAAAGGGCATAGCATGGTTAACTGTTCCATTTCAGCCCGGTGTATTAAATAGTTTTGTGCGAAGTGGGTTTAAAAACTCCAGTTTTTACAAGAAAAATGCAGGAGCTCATTAGCGATTTTGCCACCCAGATTTACAATTTTTGGATGAGATTGTGGCCGCTTTTGTGAGCTTTTAATAGAGTGTTTTCACAACGCGGCCAGCAGCAATGCAAATTTATTGGAACTAAATTTAAAGGGCGTGTTTACATAAGAGGGTAGTTCAACTCCCACAGAATAGGTTTGGTACACCAATATGGCTGCCGATTCATTGTTTTGGAACACCAAATTGGCTCCCGTGACCGCCGTGACGTCATGTGACGTTGTATTCTTCTTAACTTCATAGAGTAGCAGCTGTTATTGTTTTGGAGCTAGGGGCATTTGTTATACTGTGCTCTCAAAGGGTATTGAGCCATTTATGTGATACCTTGCGAGAGCTGCTACCTGATCCATTTTCCCCTGAAATACTACACCCAATGAGCCAAAATTCCACCAATTAGTAAGTTACATAAGCTGTTTAAATGTTAAGAGTCAATTCGTGTCAACGTGACGCTTTCTTTTCGCAAAGCGGAAAGTCGAATTTAAATGAGGAAAAATGTAAACATCTACGTCAGCAACGATCTCCCTATAGATGTTCCTGAAAGATTGTATTACAATAATCGGCTTTTTACCTTCAGATAGGCAGTTAGTTTCTGTGCATAGTTGTTTCCAAAGTTGGCTGGTGCATCCATTAGTTGAATTAAATTCCAAAATCTACTTTGAAGCCCGAAAACATTATATTCTTGAAGGGTATCCGGGCTTTCATTCTCTTTTCCTGTATCCCAGACTTCTCGAAGTATTCCTTTGGCGTTTGTCTGTGACTCTGATAAAATAGGTGAATTTGAGTTCAGAACATTGAAATGTAATAAACTGGTAAGCAGCTGCAAGTACAACTAAAGAGTTTTTATATGACTCCTCTTTAATAAATAATAAGATTGTTGTAATAAAATATAGATAGATGAAAAAGAGGGAAAGTAATGAGTTTTAAATATGATGTATGGCATCCTTTTGTTATGTTATGTTATGTTATTAACATTTTATCATTTTCACGTTTTCGCCTATTTATAAACGTTGTACATAAATATAACTTTTCCACACGAACACGAAAACAAACAGACAAGGTATAAATAAATAAACTATTTAATAGGCCACTTCCGAGTTGCCTTTTACCTCTGTGTCAAAACGAGTCTTCGTGCGAAACAACTCACAGGGAAATAAATTCCGCCTACATGTTCATTTTCACGTACTTCAACCTCATTTTCACATGAAAGGTTTTGCACGAAGACTCGTTTCGAAAGAGAGGCACGAGGTAACTTGGAAATGGTCTATTAATGTGCAGTATACCAGGAGTAACTTTTCTAGGTTACTAACGTCTTTCAAAACAGGTAATCATTCAAGTTCTAACACTAACCTAATGCCAAAACAGTGACATGGCACAAAAGCAGCGTGGTGTTGAAGTTAGGCCCGTTGATGTACAAAACGTCACCTTTCACTGGGGGAAGACATTGGTATTCCAAATGCAGAGAGTGCTGCTTCTCTGTGCACTCAGATCCGGGAATGACACCAGATTGATTGCGAGACAAAATCGACACTGTTACAGGTATGTCATTACTTGTATTCTTGGCATTTTGTATGATCACTTTGTAGATGAAGAACTCTTTGGCAAGTTCTATTTTGAGCCATGGACTCGCCTCCTACCCACAAACATTTAGATAAGCATTAATAAGCGCTGTTATATTCGTTAAATGTGTACCCATTTTAATCGCTTTTACGTTTCAATGATGACAGGAAGTTCTCGTCGCAAACGAATTTATGTTATCTCTACAGCGCTCACCCCTAGGGATAAACGTTAATAGTCATTGAAGAGTCGGTACTTTTTGTTGAGAGGTGACCGAAAAAAAGAGTTTGACTGAACACGTACAAGTGTGTATGGCCACATTCTTTTTTGTTGTTGTTGTTGCAAATTTATTCCTGATTTAAATAATAATTGCGTGAGCTTTTTAAATAATTATTTTCTGCGCTCACGATAAAGTGAAAACGATAACAAGCAACTTTCATTATCAATGCCTTTAGAAAGATTTCTATATAAATGTTTCTTTATTTTCTGCGGCATTTACAAAGTTGTGAGAAACCATAGTCATGATGTTTTAATTCAGTTCCTTGCAATCTCTTTCCTCAAATCTTCGTTCCTTACTGCGCAAGCTCGACAAAACGAGCGACACTTGAGAGTTCCGTCACAGGCTCGAATTTGATTTGTGTTAAGAACTATGCATATATTCGGAAGTTAAACACTACCCACTCGATTGATCAACGTGTTTGTCAGATAAGCATGCGCAATTCAACCAGAAATCCGATAAATTTTGACTTCTAGACAGAACTTTCCAGGGTCGCTTGTTTCCCGACCGCTGGTCAAGGGGAACGAAGACTCTGAGAACGAGGTAGAATTCTTTGAGTAACATCATTGTTACTTCAGTGCATATCTTAACACTGTTACCTTTTGAGAGATAAAACAGGTTGCAGAGTTGTTGTCGACGGCAAATGATGAATTGCTTCCTGTAGCCAGACTTGAGAAGCGAGTCAAACTTCTATGAGCAACATTAGCTTTGGTAGCTAAACCAAATCAAACATTCGTAAGATACTAGCTACTCGAATGGGGGAGGGGTGGGGCCGGTAGCCTAATGCATGGCAAGAGCTATGGAGTTGTGTATTAATTTCCCTATCCATTCTTTCATCGTCATCGTAGCTATAGACCCAAGGTATGTGTTAGGTTTCATCCACTCTCATAAAAGCCCAAAAACAAAACTAGCATATAATAATCACCGTTTAAGGGAATATACTCTATACCATTATTTCTATTTTTCTCACCTTGAGCACTTTGGCAGGCAACGCCAGGTAAATCATCACAGGGCATGTTAATAATCACTGGATAGTACCCATAAAATGCAATGCAAGTCTCGCCTGATTCTTTTTGGGGATATCCCGCTTCAAACAATGCGCTATCGACAGATGTTCCATCTAGCCATGACCAACTGCCCAGATCCCTGATTAGCCCAACGTGAAAGATATAGGGCCACTGTACTAATCGCAAAAGTGGGACAATTCCTTGTAGTTTTTCGTAGGAGTCGATAATTGCCAGATAACCGCTTTGGCTTAAGCAATCTGACCAAGCATCCTCCCAATCAAGGCGAGGACTGGTGTGTATCTTGTAGCAGTGATTACCGATTAATTCATAACCTTGTTGACACGTCCTGTTCACTGAAAAGAAACTAAACGAATCACCACGTATACGATAATTTAAGATTTTATATTGTATAATCTGCATTTGGTTGAATAATGAACAGGTGACGTTAAATTTATAGCTGTTGTAAAATCCTAAAGGACGTTTATAAGATTGAAGATGTGTCAATAAATCGCATTTCATTTAATGAAAACAACCTCCTTTTTAATTGTTTGTCATCGAAATAATTCACTTGAACTAATACAAGAGCTCTTCTAACGTATAAAAATAGGTGTTCTAACCACCAAACACCAACACCAACCCATTCTAAACAGACTATTTTTGAAACTACTCCGAGTTGATATAATTTTGCAAAATGATTCCTGTCAGCATTTTAAGGGGCTTTGACGAAAATTTCTTTGGTAGCTGTTGACATTACTTGGATCAAAAAGTCATTTATGTCCCAGTGATTCATTAAGTAAGAAACAGGAAACATTTTCCGTTTCTATCGATTAACAGAAAACGAGTGCAGAAAACAAATGCTGTCGGAACACGAGCCGCAAGCGAGTGTTTCAGCAATTTTGAGGTCTCAGAAACTTTCACGAGTGTTTTTTTAAGATTTCTAGAACTCGATGAAAACACAGAGATTTCCGATTCCTTTTTAGAAAACTATGCGAGAAAAAGAAAGGTCAAGAAAGGAAAATCGCTCGTTTATTTCGATTTAAAAATGTAATTTTCTTTGCTCACGTCAAAAGTTTGTACTGATTCTGTGTTTCTATCGAGTCATGGGGTATTTTCTAAATACTTATCTGATTTTCTCATCTTCCTTTTATCTAAGAAATAGAAACAATTCTTTGTTTCTATCTAGTTCTACGCGTTATTTTCTTATGTGATCATTTCGTCATCAGTTCGGGATAGCTGCGGAATTAGGTTTGGAAGCATGGTTGTCAACTCGTTTTATTTACTATTCCTTGGTTTTCTATGAACCTTAACCTTCATCAAGAACTTTACTTAACCAAACATCAATTAATTGAAACAAGTCTTTGAGCGAGTTCAAACCCTAAATTTTAAGACGTCGCTAAGGTTTGCAAGCATTTCCTCACTAGAAATTATTGATCGTCGTTGATCGTCATTTAAAAATATGAGGCATGCCAATCTACTAAGACAAGAGGGGTAGGAGAATGTTGTTACCATGATTACAGCTCCAGAAACTCACCTGGTCTGGCCTCGCATATGTATGGTCGCGTTTTACTGCAGACTCTCGCGGCAAGCCACCAACCGCAGCCTCTATTAAACATCCTTCTTTCAAAGTTCTCAATCACTCCACATCTTCCATATTGTGCCGTATTTGGCTCTCCCGGTCCCCACAGAGCTGCATCAACCACGCCTCCTTGAGGCCATTGCCAACGCAAGTTGAAATTTTCTCGTGATCCTAAAAACAGGGGTCTGCGGCGAAATTCTCCCGTAGTGTAGTACATGGATAAGAGCCCGTTTAAGTCTTCCAGATCCCGCACTACCATGAGGTCCGCGCCTTTCGCGTTACATGCCTTACGTGCGCTTGTCCAGCTGCTAACGCCATATTCACGATAATAATAATAATACGATGGCGACGTCTTTATGAATACACAACTGTTTTTCAGATGAGACCATCCTGGAGGACACCAGCTTTGCTGCACTATCATGAGAGAAACGGGACGATATAAGATTGAAAAATGCTTATCATAGATGCATCAACTAGATAACACTTGAACGTAGCAGATAGCTTGGAAAATAAGGAATGCCGGAATAAGGAATGCTGGAATAAGGAACAAGAACCGGTATACTCGGGATACCCGGAATGACCGAAAAATAATTAATTAATTCATTGATTAATTAAAAATAAATAGGTTAGTTATATAATTAAAAATAAGTTAAATCCATAAAGAGCTAAAAAAACATTGATGCTAAGTTTTCTTTTGATAAAAAGCAAAAGAGGAAGCTAACAAAGAAAAACATTCAAACGTTGAACTGCAGAGAGCTATAAAATGTTAATGCAAAAACCACAGACGATGATCCTGTTGGTATTCGTTGGATCGACACGAGTATAAAATTTACCATCTTGATGATGATCGATCAAAAGGAAAAACCGGGAACACTAGAAGACGATCCATATGGAATAACAGGGTTTTTTTGTCAATGATCTCCGTGCACACTAGCTTTGAGGTGGATATCATTTTTTGATAAAAAAAAAAGTCACAAAAAAGGAAATGTGCCAATTAAAAAAACAAGAACAGAACACCGCTTACATTCACAGTATTCCCATTCTCTGTCCTGAGTGTAATTAGATGTTGTAGCACACCAAGGTCTCACTGTTGATCCGTCCACTGTACATTCATTGTATTGTCTACCATTGTACTCAAACGGGAACACGCAACACTTTCCCGATGGAAGACGAATTTTGGAACATGCTTCTTTCGGTCCTAAAAATAAAGAATTTGAAAATGGTTGTATCGAAAAAAAAATTAATGAATAAATTGCGGATGGTGTGTAAAGGAAATAGATAACCATTTCAGTGATATTTAAAATTCAAAAATCGCAAGGAGTTGAAAACCCCTCAGACCTGTTATTAGGTTTCTTTAGTACTGTTTAAATTACACACACGACTGTGACTGTATCTTTTTAACTTAAAAATAAACAGCTTTATTAGCTTCAGGGTATGATTTTCTTATACTATGGGCGAGGGCGTTTTTATTGTAATGCCTTTTGTTAAGCTTATTTGATGTTCAGCCCACCCCACAGGTATGCTTTTTATTGTTTTTCTTTGCTATTTTCATTTGATTATTATATTCCCTTACTGTTAGCTTCTTGATGTCTTTTTACCTTCACGCTTCCTGTTTTACTCACTATTAGACTTACAACTGCCCAAGGTTATGTTTACAAATTTGCCTTAGAATCGGTCATGAACTTTCTTTTGTAGACAAGACACCTTTGACGATATTTTCATAACTTTTTATTGAGACATTTTTAGGAAAATTTCGATCCTACTGTATCTGACTACAAGCTCTTTTTAAGTTTTGAATGAGAATTTTTGTTTTGTAATCTGGCCGATGGAAAATTAAACCAACTGGAAACTAGTTATTTGCAACATACCAAAGTCAGAAAGGTTTGAAATAATATACTCACTTGATGCGGAGACCATTGCTGCAAACATGACGGCTAAAATAATGACTGGCCAAGTTGAGCAAATCCCACGAGCACGTAGCATTTTTAGTTCTTGGCTTTTAAAATATCATCTTTAAAAGAGGAATAACGAAAAAGAGTTTATTGAAGTGGGAAGAAAAAGAAGAAACTCTTGCATGAATGATTTTTCTATCGCTGTCATGCATTTTGCGTTTCGTGCAACTTCACAATATCTCTATCTGTACTGTAAACAACCTCAGGTGATCTTTCATTATCACTATAACAATGTTTGAACTTAGCTTTGAAGAAAGCAATTGAAAGCAGGAACCTCATGTTCGACTGGCAGACGCTACAAAAACGGTATGACTAAAGTCGAGTCACTTACACAGAATTGCTTCAAAACAGTGAAATTCTTATCTATGATGCATGAGACTCAAGCCCTTCTATATTCAACTAAATTACCTTTGATATCGTTTCAAAATCTTAGCAAATAAAGTTCGCTAAGAAAATAATGGACTCTTGAGGTCTAGAAAAAACTGCTAGCGGACTCATGAGCGGAACGCGATTGCGCTCTGCAATTTTTCCAGATCTAGATGGCGCATTATTTTCCTAGCAAAAATAGAAACACTTTCTTCTATTTGGAATACAGAATGTAGAATACAGCATGAAAAGAGAAGGGGCGGTGATATCGCTGGCAACACAATATACGGAACCCGCATTTATAAATTATGAACGCTCGGCTTCAATAGCGGGTAAACAGCACATACACTAAAGAAAAGACAAAAGAACTCATTCAGTTTGGACATGAAATGGTACCTTCTTTTAAGGAAAAAATTGGTGTGTGCTTCGATGACTTTAAAAGTCAATGTACTTTGAAAGGAAGCCAGAAACTAATACACTTAGTTGATGGAACAGATATTTGAACAAAGGTACTAAGTTACAGGAACATTTGATATGCAGAGAAATAAAGTACACAGTCGTACTACAGAAGCTCACGGATTACAACAAGAACTTTTTCGCGATTTTCAAATGCTTACTGAAATGCTTGTACAGGAACGATTGGGTTTGTGATGTTTGTTACCTCACTTAGTTTTTTTTTTTTTTGCAAAATTCCTTATTTGTCACTCGTCTCAAACTCCACTAATGTTAACCATAATTAGCCATTTTCGGTTCATGTTAGCTAACTGTTGTTTGTCTACTTCCTTGTTAAACCAATTTTAAATTAAGGTAGTTTGAACATCGCAAAATGTTGATATATCGGAACACAACACCTGAAGTTTGTGTTTGGAGTTCAACTGATTGTGGAAGAAGATGTCGACGATAATTCTTGATATCAAATTTCAATACCTACTTGAAAATTCGATCTCAGCCTTAACTTAAAGCTCGGCAATAAACCGCTTCTCAGGATATGCAATTTCTTACAACATAAAGCTAAAAAATTATATTCATTCGTCACATACCTTAATTACCTCCTGTACTGTAGAAAAGAAGATCAACTTTCGAGCGGAATTTCAAAAATTTTCTTTTAAGCCATTATGACAAGTAAAAAAGTTATGTTCCTTTGCACTTTGGCTTTGGTGTTGTAAAAACAACGTCCGTTTCTTTTAAATTTTCCTGCTTTAATATAACTTTTCAAAGCTATCACTGTTTTAATTAATTATAACTACATGTACACGCATCATGTGTCATCCCTCCATGAGCTTGGAAGAATACACGTTATTATCTTGGACTCAAACGTTTAATTTAAATGCAGAACAAAAAACAGAAGATTTGTTTACTTCCTGTTTGAAATATAGCTCAATACTAGTGAATTAAAATTGCTTGTGTTAACAAAAGCAATAGGAATGACTGTTACGTGCACGCGATGTTAAAATGTTTACTCAATAAAAATGATAGTGGATTTATCAACATTAGCTAGGTCTGTTATGCCAAGAAAAAAACTAATCATTACGTACGACTGTTTTCTTTTCGTTAAAACTTATATAACCGCCTTACAAAAGCATTGAATAATATAAAAAACGTTCTCTGTGTTTCCATAGAGAGCGAGTGGGTGTTAGGAGAACGAAAAAGGCTGTAGAAAAACTAGCCTGCGGCTCACGTTTCCACACCTGTTTCTAATTATTTGCCACGGCTATGGTTAATGTTTACTTCCTCTAGAAATAACACCAAATTTCTAGGCATAATTAATTCGGTTTTATGATAAAAATGGCTTTGGTCGTTTGTATTTTGCTAATTATTTTGCATATCTGCCAGGCACAAAAAACATTCTTCTAATTTTGCGTGTGTGAAAAGAAAAAGTAAGCACTGCTATATTATAATTGAAAGGTCTTGTGTTTTCTGTTTGACAATTTTTTACTGTTTCAACATTTTCTAACATGCTTTATAAAGCGCATAAAAGGAGGAACCAGAATAATTTAACTTTTTATTTGCTTAATAAAGAACTTGCACTGCGTCAGTTTACAAATGGGTCTTCATTTAGACACCCATGCTGTCTTCGTACTTGAAAGATATCTTAGAATGAATCTTAAAGTCTAGCGCTACATTCAGGAGCTCTTTTTCGGTAAAATGAGTTACTCTGTGGAGTAAAACTGTTCTGTCTTAAAAGTTTGCACTGACCCTATATCATCTGCATGTAGTCGAGAAAATATATCAAGCATGAAAACGGAATACGGCTCTTTAGTTTGCATTATAAAAATGAGATTTAATTAAGTGTAGAGCCATGCTATCATTGGCCATGTTTTGCAGTGCAAGTAATTTGTTGTAGAATAGCTAGAACCGTATGGGCAAGAAGTTGGTAACGTAGCATTTTTAAGACAAGAATAGATCAAGAAGGACTATGAACGACGAAATTGAGAGTTTAGGATAACTGTTTTAAGATTCACACTATGACTCAGTTCAATTACTGGTCAGCTAAAAAATTGAGCTGTTTTTATTTTCTTAATAATAAAGTTTATTATCGTTTGTCTCACGATGTAGTCACTTGAGTGTAGAACGCGACGTTTCGACTGCTTACTGCTAGTCTTCTTCAGGCGATAAGGTCGACTGATTGCACGGTGCAATCAGTCGACCTTATCGCGCGAAGAAGATCATGAGCAGTAAGTGGTAAGCAGTCGAAACGTCGCGATCTACATCTCAAGTGACTACATCGTGAGACAAACGATAATACACTTTATTATTGCATCTACCACGATGAACAACAACCTTTTCCTCGACATTTATTTTCTTTTTTGTATTATACGAATTTTCTATGCGACTGGCCTCTTACCTACAATATAAAATCGTGAAATAAGATTGTCAAAGCGGCTGTACAGCTAAGTTCGTCCACAAGGAAAGGTAATCAAATCAAGGGTAGACTTGAGAAGGGAGAGGCCACGAAACATTCTTATTTCGTTTACACTAAGCAATGCCCAGCATCATAGAGTGACTTCACTTTAAACTACGGAAAGCAACTCAAAAACAAACTCTGGAAACACGACTTCTAAGACTAACCGTTATTCCTGAATTATTTCCGAGTTCAGTCCTCCCGCGCCCGCATCAGTGCAAACGGCAAAACTACACAAGTTCCTCGTCAAACTTTGAGAAAAACGCGTTTTTGGTTTCACCGTTTGTATCAAACACACAACCAATAATTGTTTGACGTAAAAAAGTTGATTCATCGACGACTTGAACTCTTAACTACATGTCATTGCCAGTGGTTTCTAGAACAAAATAGTGCAAATATGTTACAAGAAGAGCGAAAATGGCTACATAAAACATTGGAAGCACGAGACGAAAACGAAGAAAGGAGACATTTACCTGACGATAAGGATATGGCGAGGAACAGCATAAACGAATGTTGCTTTTTCAAAGGTGAACGAGCCTGTGTCAAATTTACATAACCCGCGAAAGTAAACTATTCGAAAAAAACCGCTGTGGACTGGGCAACCGACCACGGATTGGTTTTTACACCGTTGAATGCAACCCTCGTGTGTCCAATTACAAGCAGATTTTGAATTACTGTTCCTTTAAAGAACTGACGATGATCGCCAACCTGTAAACAAGCGGGGAGAATTTTTTTCGATCAGCGATCAATAGCATAATCCATGCGCTTTACCCAACAACAACAACAACAACAACAATCCTTCATTTAAACATGATTTTGTTTAGAGCAACAGGTTTGCCTGTGGGGTCGTGTATCTAGCAAAAAATGTAAGAAAACATAAAGATGTACAGTGGTAAAAAATAATTATAAACGTATATTCATTCACATTGATGAAATTTAAAATCCGTTACGTTCCTGCTTTGAGTTTGAATCGAAGTCACATTGAAGTCTAATTGTATAATGAAAACGTCTTTTCTCACTTTAATAATGTTGATAAGAAAAAGAAAGAGAGAGAGAGGAGAAAAAAGAAAAGAAAAAGAGAAAGAGGAGAGAAGAAAAAGGGCGCCAAAGCACAAACTCAATATTTGTAGCCAACTACAAGTTGCTTGAAAGCATTGTTGTTGTTGATTTTAATTTAACAATTTTTTTTTATTTCTTTATTTCTATACATTTACAATTACAGTTACAATCATATTTACTAGACGCACTTCCACTAAAAACAAACAAACAAAAAGATAAATTATAAATAACTAAATGAGAAATTAATTATCAGTAAAACAATACCATAAATAAAAAATACATAAATAGATAAACAAAATAAATAAGTAAAGTACATTATGGAGCCTATTCTTTCTTTTGGCAATTTTTTTCTCTATGTGATAGACTAATTTGATCTTTTCTAAGAAAAGTCTTAACGTTGGTTTACGTTTTATATTTGTAAATAAAAGATTTAGCCACGAGTACTAAGTGTTCAAAATAGCAAAGTCTTTATTGTCATTAAACCCGCCAAACAGAAAATTAATTAGTATTAACGTTTCCAAAGACAGATATGTTTTAATCAACAATTCAAGATGAGAAAGCGAAAAGTTTTCTATAAGAAAACGGAACAACTTATCATTGGTGTATACGAACCGCTCAGTAATTTATATTGGAACTCTCTGATTTTTGTTGCTACTGTAACGGTAAACGGTAAACAATAGACTTTGTTTCCAATTAACCGCAAGTTGGGGACATTTGCTTTTCATCTAAATTTTGAGCAGAGGGAGGAGTTTGATTTTTAGTTTTAAATTAGTTATACAGTAGCTTTGATGTTGCTTTGGACAAATCGACTTTAGTTTCATCTAATTCAATAAAAAGTCTGTCTCCGAACAATGATGGATAGAAATGTTGATTCTTTTGTGACCTTTTTATGGTCTCAACGCAATGGGAATAGCTTCCACAACGCCTATTAACTTAAAATATTGGGTTGAGTGTAAATTTGCTTACAATACTTTTGAACTTTCAAGAAATTTACCCGGGTCAGATAGCAAGTCCCCAATTTGAACGATTCCCTGAGAAAAAAATGTCTTTCAAAGAGCGATTTTAACAAAATGTTTGTTATTCCAAATGATTTGGTCGATAACATCCTCATAGGAAATGACATTTCTTTATAGTAAACTGAAAAATGAGCTGGGAATTTACGAGTGTCGAAGTCACAGAAAAGAATGAATTTTCTCCCTACGTTACAAAGAAGTTGATCTAAAATGACTTTCCATCTGTTACCATCCCCGAAATATTTCTCTAAAGCCATGAGCCTTTGTTCTGAGATCGCGCACTCGGTGTGAAGAATGTTAAGTCCACCATTTTCAATGTCATTAATAAGCGCAGATCTTTTGATTGATATGTTTGTATAAAAGTTCTTGTTTCATTGCAGAACCACTTCCCAAAGTTAAATTTCTCCAACACCTTTGCCACTTTTTAATGAATCTCCTGCCTTTATCATTCTTTTGTAATGACGTAATCATTGCCTGTTTTAGG